AAGGAGATTTCTGGAGGGACTGGTATAAATTTTGAGTTTCAGAAAGCAAATGGAGGTAGCAGGACACCCCATCACAGAACAGCCTTGGGAAAACCAACACCTTCCAAATGGGATGATGCACAAAAATGGTTGGTGGGATTGTCCAGAGGAGCAGAAAAACACCAGTCCAAAACAAAACCCAGAAACTCAAATGCTGATGACTTGAGACTCATAGCTCCTGTACCACAGAAGGAGCAGGACTATTCAGATGGAGAAGAAGAACATCATCAACAAGAAGAAAATGGCTGTCCTAGGTCAGCTATGGCGAATCAGTACGATGTGGAGACGAAGAAAGTGGATTGTGATGATTCAGTGTGGAGAAGCAGCAACAAATCTATGGAGAACTCGACAGTGACTATGAGATCTATATGTTTGAGGGACATGGGGACAGAAATGACCCCTACTGCAAGCCAGGAACCTTCAAGAACTACCACCCCTATTCGAGCAACAACTCCGGCCGCGCGCAGCCCTATATCTTCGGGGTCATCTACCCCGGTGAGGCCGTGCCAGCATGGGAGGCAGGGCGCTCATCAAGGGTATCAAGTATCAACTGATGGGGGAAGAAGTGGTCATGATCAGACCAGTTCTTGTGGGAGAGGGAGCGGCACAGCGAAACGTTATGCAGAAGAATCAAATGCTTGCAAGAATTTGTCTGAGAATCCGAGTTCAGATCAAGGTACTAAACCGAGTCCCTTGGAAACAAGAGCAATGGCTTGGGATGAAGCAGAACGTGCCAAATATATAGCAAGGTGAGTTGCTGATATTCTGTTTTGTTTTTGCTGGTTAGTTACAACCAGTTGCAATTAATTTGAGTATTTTCTGCTCAAAGTTGGGACTTATTGGGGCAATTGTTTATTGGATTTGTAGGTATAAACGTGAAGAGGTGAGAATACAAGCCTGGGAAAACCATGAGAAGAGGAAAGCCGAGATGGAAATGCGAAAAATGGAGGTATATAACTCGTTCTTGAGTTCAGAGTTTCAGTTTCTTCTTGGAAAATTTTTGTTTGTTCTACTTGTTTAGATCCTAGATTGAAATTGTCTACATTACATGTTTGTTGGTACTTACTACTTGTTGCCGGAAAAGTTCAAGTTTCTCTCCTTAGTGCGGAAAGAACTAGCATTAGCTCAGTTTTCTTTTCATGAAAAAGATAAATGCAGATCCAAATCACTGACATTGGTTTCACATTTGCTAAGTTATTTTCCATGATTACAACGAAAAACTACCCTTAGCGTGAACCCTTTTTCCCCATCCGCTTCGTTGGTGAATCAAATCACCAGTGTGATCAATTAGGGGTGGGCACGGGCCGGGCCGGGCCCAAATTTGAAGGGACCGGACCGGACCCGCTTTAAAATGGAACGGGGCGGGGCGGGGCGGGTATTGAAATTTCTGAAGTTGGAACCGGACATAACCCGGCCTGTTTGAAACGGGCGGTTCGGGCCGGGTCCACGGGTCCAACGGAAGGGAACGACGTCGTTGTCTATCTTCCTCCGATGCGAAACCTAGATGCCCAGCGACAACCTTCACCGTCGCGCCGTTCAGCATCGTCACGTCTCCGGCGAACACCACTCGAATCTGTGACTGATGCATGTCGGTCTGAGTATATTACGAGTGTGCAAATACCACTCGGATCCATGACAAAGAGCTTTATTTGCACAGAACACTCGGATCCATGACAGATCCGAGAGAAATGAGGGACGTGTAGAGAGTGAGACTGTGAAAGAGTGAGAGAAAGGGGTGAGAGAGAAATGAGAGTATTGAATTCCAACGATGTTGGCGATGACGAAGCCGAGTATGAAGGTGTCCGAGGAAGAAGAGAGAGACTGCGAGTCTTGGTCCTGGGAAGAAAGAGCGGCAAAGTCATCTGCATCTCGGGAAGAAAGAGCGGCAAAGTCATCTGCGAAGCCAAGGGTGTCTATGTCCAACGGGAATACGAGAGAAACGTGAATGTCGTGAGAAATCACCCTCTTGCTGCAGAGCCTCGGCCAAGCCACGGAGCCCGAACTTGCTGGCGGAGTAGGCCGTGTAGCCCGTAGATTCCGACTTGGCCGGCCTGGGATGACATCAGCGCGATCGAGCTCCGGAATGAGAGTTGCAGAGATATGGGGGGAGAAGAAACAGAGAAGAGGAATGAGGGAGAAGGGAGAAGGTTCGAGAGATTGGGTGTGTGTTCTCGAGAGTGAGAACCATCACGGGGAGGGACAAAAAGAAGTGGGCCTGGGACAGTAACAGTACCCAACACAGGGTATTTTTGCAAACGGGCCGGTCCGGGTACCCGTTTTTCTATACTTTTGGAACCGGCCCGAACCTAAAATTTCAAAGACCCGCCCCGCCCCGCCCCGTTTCTCTTTTTTAAAATTAGGACCCGCCCCGTACCCGCCCCGAACCGCTAATACCCGCCCCTACCCGCGGGTCCAGGACCCGTTTGCCCACCCCTATGATCAATATCTTCTTCAAGTACTACAGCATTAACGGAAAATTGCATCACTAACTTGAGAGCGTGCTCAATGGTTTTGATGAGCGCCATTATTCGGCTTTTCCACTTCCCGATAGTATTAATCATAGGCCATAAGAAACACACTCAACCATGTACCAATTCCTACTGAAATGCAGCTTTTCTGACTCGTTATTTTTGGTTTGGTACCAGGTGAAAGCGGAGAATGAAAACTCGGGGCCAAGAGAAGTTAACGAATAAACTCGCAGCAACCAGAAGAATAGCTGAAGAAAAGAGGGCAAATGCAGAGGCCAAACTCAATGAAAATGCTTTGAGGACTTCAGAAAAGGCAGATTACATAAGGAGGACTGGTCATTTGCCCTCTAATTTCTCTTTCAAGTTGCCTTCTCTTTGCTGGTAGCAGTATCTTATGGTGCACGCACCATTTCTCTTTCTTTTTTTCTTTACTGCCACTTGTTGAATATGTAATTTGAACCCTGTGGAATTTTATCATATTTATTTATTTTTCCTAAAGTAAATTGGGACTCCCCAATTAACGGATATCATTTTTTTCTACAATAATTTTATATTTTGGTGTGCAACCTTCTGTTCCACAAAGCAAAAAATTAAATAATTTGTATGTCAATGGTGGGGGTGTCTGTGTGTTTGGTATGGAGGAAAAGCACGTATCAAATCAGTCTCAGTGCGATTAATGACATGATTACTAATCCGTGCTAAATTTTTTTTTTAAGTGAAACAAAACATAGATGACGTAGTTTTGATTTGTGTCAGTTAAAAAAATATTGATTAAAGGTCTGTTTATTTCATTCGTCTTAAGCTAGTATAGGGGTCAAATGAAATTTCATAGAAGAGAATATATAAGTTATTGGGGTCAATAACCGCCAATGCCTTCAAGGCGATTGTGAAATGGTTGCAACAAATTTGTTTTATTATAAATAAAATATATTGATGAGAAAAAGATAATACAAGCAGCAAAGCAAAGAGCTGCTCTAAAAAAAGCAACAAAAGAGTTGTAGGCACAAGCATGGTTTAAAATATCCATAATATCCTGATATTTTTATCGAAATTTCTGTGTTTTTGAACTACTGATATTTTTTTAGACTATCGATATTTCCGATATCATCGATATTTTAGACCTTGCTAAGTCACTCATGTATCTTACCATGCAATGTATAAAGTGTAAAATATTATACTAATTCATTGTATATAAATGATTATGGTGTGTTTAAACTTCTTTCATTAATTACTACATATTTTCTATACTCACAATGTTTGTCAGCTTGCTATATAATCAATTTAAATCAGTTATATCTATCATGCAATGCATTTCCTTCCAATTTTTTGTGATAAACTAATAGATAATTGACTAAATAAACATCATGCAAAGTTTCAATAAAAACTTCCTAAGTTTTTCTTACAATTTCCGTGGTTTTTATTCAATTTTTATCAATATCGATAATATCCCGATATTTCCATCAAAATTTCTGTGTTTTTGGACTACCGATATTTCCGATATCATCGATGTTTTATACCCACAAGAAAAACAGACATCAAAACCAAAAATGCTGCATCAAAGCAGCAGCAACAAGAACTATATATCCACAGGTATATTCCATTTCCATAAAATAGATGCATTAGCAGCGAAATGAGCAATTTTCAAAAAACTCAACCGAAATCTAATAGTGGACTTAATTGAGTTGAGAACAATCGCATCGTATTAACATGAGTTCTTGAATCTACGGTTATTCCACTTTTCCAAACATAATACACAATACTTCAAATACATATGTATTGTAGTGAAATCTTAAAATTTTGCCCCAAATAGAAAATCTTATGATAGGGCAAAATGTTTGATGATGAAGTCCATGATGCCCCCCACCCCACCCACCCCACACCCCCAGAAAAAAAATGGAAATTAAGTCAACCGATATTTTGCCAACTGAACAAATAAATAAAAAACAAAAAACAAAATAAAAGCAGGAAAATAAAGTTGGCGAAGCCAAAAGACCCATCCGACCTCAAAGCACCTGCGTACGCACTCCTTTCCCCTCCTCGGTCTTCCTTCGAGGGCTTTCCTTTCGCTTTACAGTCGGCGCTCGCCGTCTCTCTCCTTGAAACGGTATCAATCAATTCCTTTCAAACCCTAATTCCCCCAGTTATACCTATTCATCAATTTCTTTGCTTCCTATTCTTTGCTTGTTCAATTTCTAGGGTTTCCTTTCGAAATCGAGTAATCTCCGTGGCTGCATAGCTCGAGAATTGAATAAGTAACTGGTATTGTTTTCTGCTCTATTGTTTGAATTTCGTATTGTTTTTGGATCCGAGTCCGTTCGGACTTAGGGCTGCGTATTCAATTTCTTCGAATTTTGTGAATTTTCAATTCAAATATTGGGAACAAGTAGTTGGGCTAATTTTGTGGGGGTTTAGGGTTAGGGTTTTATAGCTGACTTGAATTGGGATAAGGGTTCCTTATTCCGTGGTGCTTTAGAGCTTTGGATATAGAGATTTATGGCTGCTGGAAGACATGGGGACCATCGCGAAAATGAGATCAGGGGTCGAGAGTCCAGTTTTGATTTTCCAAGGAGGGATTTTGCTACGGCCAAAGAGGACAATGAAAGGATTAGGAACGGAAGTCCTGATGTTGAAATGGGTCAAGCTAGGGATTTGAGAGATAAAATTAGGGTTAGGCAGAAGGATATTAAGGAGGGGAATGCGGCTAATGGTGGGGATCGCTCCTCTTCGAGTAGGAATTATTCAAGCAATAGCAGTAGTCGGGTTGTGAGCCATGGGCCCAAGCCTTGTGGGTTTTCGGTTAGGGCATTGGATAGGGAACCTGGTGAATTGTCGAGTGAGAGTGGGTCTGACGATGCTATTGAGTCGGCAGCGCAGGTCAAAGAAAATACGGTTTCAAAAGTGGTGGAGAATGGAACTCAGTCTCCAAAAGAGAAGAAAAGGAAGTTTTCGCCAATTGTCTGGGATAGAGATGACAAAGGAGTGAGTAATCCATCAAAAAATAAGATCACCATGGCGGGTGCAGCAATTCCTCTACCTCCATCATTGTCTAGGGTACATCATCAGTCTCCTAATGTTATTTCAGATAGCAGTGTACAAGTATCTTCAGCTATAATTGATCAAGTCGAGAATTTACAATCTTCCTCACCAGTTAAGGCGCCAGTGGCGTCTGGGTATGTTAGTAATGGTGTCTCTGAGTCTCCACTAGGGATATCTTCACCAAATCAGCAATCGGGTAATGATCATGAAGCAGAGCAGCTAGAAGATGAAGAATATGTTCCCACCCGAAATATATCATCTTCAAGATGGGCAGCAGGAAATATATCACCTGATGAAGGTGAAAGTTTAGAGAACCAGGAAATGCCTAAAAGGAGGAAGAAAACTCCTCTGGTAGGGTCAGTGGAAGATAGAGTACAGAATAATTCATTAAACTCAGAGTCGGGGGAGCTTAAGAGAGACGAGTCCGAACTAGCAAGAGCGCAGTCATCTGAATCTGATGAAACAGATGCCCGTATAAGATCTTCCAGTGGGGATGATTACCAGGATAATGATTCAGAGAGGGATGACTATATGGATACTGACAAGGATCATGGTAATAATGGTTCTAGTGTTAGTCAGTCAGACACAGATTCAGATGATGATAATAACTCTCGCGAGACAGCAGAACCTGCAGCTCCTCCACAAAGAAGCGTGAACATGCTTCAGGGTTGTAGAAGTGTTGACGAGTTTGAGAGACTAAACAAGATCGATGAAGGCACTTATGGTGTTGTATATAGAGCTATGGATAAGAAAACTAAAGAAATTGTGGCCTTGAAGAAGGTAAAGATGGAGAAGGAAAGAGAAGGTTTCCCATTGACTTCTCTTAGGGAAATAAACATTCTTCTTTCGCTTCATCACCCATCAATTGTTGATGTGAAGGAAGTGGTGGTGGGGAGTAACCTTGATAGTATTTTTATGGTGATGGAGTACATGGAACATGATCTTAAAGCACTCATGGAGACAAAGAAGCAGCCATTCAGTCAGAGTGAAGTTAAATGCCTTATGCTTCAGTTATTGGCAGGTGTGAAATATCTTCATGATAATTGGGTGCTTCATCGAGATTTGAAGACATCTAACTTGCTTATGAATAACCGGGGTGAGTTGAAAATATGCGACTTTGGGATGGCTCGTCAGTATGGGAGTCCTTTAAAACCGTATACTCATTTGGTGGTTACACTTTGGTACAGGTGAGCTGCAACTGCACATTGCTCTTTATTTTATTTTTAATTTCATCCTTTAGGTGTTTTATGCTTATCAGTTTAACCTATTAATTCATCTTTTATTTTTTTAATTGGTTGACGACTTCCACCTTGAATTTCAAGATTGACATATGGTTTCACGGGTTTTCATTGTTATTGGATTCAGTTCTTTTTATTCTCAAGTAATTTGACTGTACAATTAGCTTTGTATTCTTGGTATCTCTCTTTGTATTTCAAGGTTGATGCCATCTCAGCATATGTTAGTCATGATGGGTATAATGTGATAAAGGCCATTGATATAGCTGGTCATGTTTTACACAATTGTCTTTCCTCTGATTTGTTTTATTTGTTATGTGTGGGTTATTGTTTGCTTTTGCCTGGTGTGCATGTGTATGTGTGTTTGTGTATGTTGTATGTAGAATCGTAGATGCATACTTTTGTGTACCCTCAAAAGTTTTAGTCATTAATGCTATTTCAATGCAGGGCACCGGAACTTCTGTTGGGAGCGAAAGAATATTCAACATCTATCGATATGTGGTCACTTGGTTGTATCATGGCTGAACTATTATCAAAGGAGCCACTTTTCAATGGGAAAACTGAATTCGATCAACTTGACAAGGTAATTAATTTTATTTGACGTGCTTGAAGTTTGATTACTTTCTTACTCATTCACATACCTGTGGATTTAGTTATTTAAGTTTATAATCACTGCGCTTCTCATAAAAATTTATAATCACTACAGATTTTTAGAATCCTTGGCACACCAAATGAGACAATCTGGCCCGGATATTCCAAGCTTCCTGGAGTGAAGGTCAACTTTGTTAAGCACCCGTAAGTATGAATATTTTTTTTAACTAATTCCCAAATTTTCATTATGACATCTTGATTTTCTTATTCTTGCCGCTGTTTTCCCAGGCTTCCAGCTTTGGGTGATTCTGATCTGGCTATCTGGCCTCCGTTGGTGATGCTTTCAGTTCTAAGCTTTTCATTTATGCATTAACTTCTGACCTGTTTCTTTCAGGTATAATCTTTTGCGCAAGAAGTTCCCAGCTACGCCATTTACTGGATCTCCAGTACTTTCTGATGCTGGATTTAATTTGTTGAACAGGCTTCTAACTTATGATCCTGAAGAGGTAAGTCTGCTACCTAGACTTGCCTTATTTGGGTATGATTGGTATAGTTACTTATATATGTACTGTATTTTATACAGAGAATTACAGCTGGAGATGCTCTGAATCATGAGTGGTTTCATGAAGTTCCTCTTCCTACAACGAAGGAGTTCATGCCTACCTTTCCTGCTCATCATGCTCAGGACAGGTATCTTGATCTATCTATTGCTACAAACAAGTCCCACATGTGGTATTACTTGGGACTTGATTTCCTACATTTAACAAAATTCATGTTGTAAATAGGCGCACGCGGAGAGTTTTGAAAAGTCCAGATCCTTTGGAAGAGCAACGTAGAAAGGAGTTGCAGCAAGGGCAAATAGGAACTGGTGGAGTATTTGGCTAGTAGAAATTAATCAGTGATCAGTGGCCTAGGCTGAGGTGAGAGACATGCTTCAAACGGAAGTTGCAAACATTCTATGTCAGACGATCATTTGTGCTGTTTTTTAGCAGGCACTTCATGATTTGGTTGGAGAATGTATCTGTGACATTGCTTTCATGTCGAGGTTAACTTTGCCTTTCATCTTTGATCATCGTATAGGAATGCATCTGTGACATTACTTTGATTGCCTTTTCTTTAGAAAAGAGAATCAATTGCTGCTGAAACTCGTGTATGTAACATATTTTTGTTGGTACATTGTAAACAGCTCTCTTTTGCTTTTCAATATTACCACTGCCGGTTATATTAGAACATATTTAATATTCACGTTGTGTTTGCAAGAGGCGGTTGGTGTGAAGTGGAGGGGCATTCTTTGCTTTTTCTTGATGAAGAGTTTGACAGTTACCGTATTATTTTATAAGGTAATATGTTAATCTCCGATATCTGTGGAATGTTCTGGGGGATGAAGATTTTAAGCCATAAGGGTATTATTTAATTTTAATATAGACAATATATTCGTTTAAAACATTTGTTGGATAGTGAACACACATCTTTTCTGTAGCTTCTTGGAAGTTGAAGCCCTCAAAATACGTATAAAAAACAATGCTGTACATGACTGGTTACATGGTAATTTACCTTTCTAATATATGTGCACGAGAACTGTAACTGTATTCATTCTCTTTTTGCTTCTGTGCTGGGTAGGCATCAAGTTTTTCAGATATCAACTTTATTGCTTAGTGTAGTTCTTTTGTTTGCAAATTTTCAGTGAGTTCATACCAAATTGATTCTATTCTATGGTTACCCTGTGTTGGTGTCATTCTTTATTAGTGTCATTTTTGGTATTTTGACCTCCATCAGTACCCGTGGACATGGAAAATGATTCACTTTGTCCAGTTATTCCCTTTTTTGCTTCTGATGGTGAAGAATCAACATTTCACTAGTTCTAGATTTATTTATGACGTATATCTGCGCATGTCACTGCAGTATCAAAGCAAGCAAATTGAGGAGGTTTCCTGCACTTCCAGGAATTTATAGAACTTCATTTAGTTGTTCCTATGGGCAAACTAGAGGTACCATGCAAACCCTTGGTTTGTTTAGATTTTGGTGTTATCTTCTTCGGATCTTAATGGTTTTTTCCGTGAATTATTTTGACAGCATTTTAGTGTATGCTTTTTTTTTTTGTTTGTTCCAGAAGTGTATTGAGAAATGCATTAGAAAGGAAAATGAAGAATAAAAATCAATTCTGGTTGCAATTCCTGGATGGTTCATATTCTAAATTTGACGATTTCAGGAGCATGTTGTGGCCCATTCAGTTTGCTTTTATGTTGTTCATATAATTGAATAAAATTCAATGCTGCTTAAAATCTGAATGCGTAGATACTGAAATGCTAGTTATGATAGCGATATAAACATATTTGTCATCTAGCACTTTCTTTTGTATGTTTGTCTTGTTTCGTGCATTTTTTTGAGGACAAAAATGAGGATATGAATTCTGGTCCAAAATTATTCTATATAAAGAACTTTGAAAAGCCAATGCATGTATCCTTACGAATACTTAAGGCTTGGTTCATAAACACCATCTTGTTGAAAGCTGAAAGAGTTATAGGAGTCTTTTCTTTGGATATAAGTTAGTATGATGGTGTAATTCGTTTGAAAGTTTGAAACTCATGTTTAGAAAAAGTTAGGGTTAAGGTGGTCCGCTGATGTATAGGGATGACTAACTCGAAGCATATAGACTACGGTTTATATACATGGTTTAGAGGAAACTCTAGCTGATTTTCTAAATTTTGTAGTTTTGTATCAATAAATGGGTTTTCGGAATTTGAATCTCTTTAATGGATAAGAGGATACTCCTTGCTTGATATTCGGTTATTGTTGCTTATCTGTGTCGTAATTCCATTATAGGCACAGCTGGAGTCGAATGGGTTGCTTGAAGATGGAATATAGTTGTCTGCTTCCCATAAACTTAACCAAATATCGTATGAGGAGAATCAGTAAGCCTAGGTGGAATGTAGACAAATACTTGCCATATGCTTTGCTGCAGGTGGTGACTGATGAGGCTCGAGAGGCAGATTAGGGCGGTAGAGTTATCGCATGCAAATACAGGTAATTAGCTGATGAAGTTAATGCACAATCATAGCTAACGATCTGCCGTTGTGGGACTCGATTATGTCTGCATAGTCGAAAATGTTAGGTTGCATTTGCGCACCGAGTAGTCTGTAGTGTATTGATCTCACTGTTTGTCTCGATCCTTTCCATATATATATATATATATATATATGTTATATATTTTTTGAATACATCGATATTTTTTACATTAAAGGGGAGGGGGAATTCGGCTGAGCGGTTCATTCCAAAAATTTGATGTTTGGTTTAGGCATGCGACAATGAAACCTGGGTAGTCAGGTGAAAATTGTTCTCCTATGTAGACTGTATACAAAAAGGAAGCGTGAATTTGGCATTTGAAGTATATAGTTTACAACATACAAGTTTCTTCCTATTTCTCTCCGGCCGCTGGACTTGTAGTCGGAAACAAGTCGTACACTTCAAAGTACCACATCGCGAAGAGATGGCGGTGCAAACCAGAACAAATCAACGATTCGGGGCGTGAACCCTTAACGTCTATTTTCGCAGGTCGGTTTCTCAACGCCAGTGTTGCCGGGAAAGAGTGGGAACGTATCAAGTCGAGGAGAAAACTAACGTCTTTCCAAGCACAAAGGTAATCAAAGACAGTTCGATGAAAAAGATCGTGTTGAGGAGGCCTCTGTCGACCGTCCATCCGAAAATTGTGATCCCTCCGATGTTGGTTTGCAAGTACAACACTGCATTGGAGAATAAAGACATGGATCATGATCCCACACTTCAACAACCAACACAAGTGAACTAAGAGAATACAAAGAGATGTACTTCGGAAGCAATGGAAGCTGATACATACCAAAGGCTTGTCTCCTGTGATACGAAGACATGTACGAAGCCAGCTGTGTGTTTGTAGGCATTTGAACATAATCCATCGACTCCAAATCACTGTCGGAGTAACTTATATGCAGCGAGTTTAATGAGTTGGCGGCCTCTGAGTTCACTGAGCCGTTTGAGCTTCTGTTGTGAGATGTATCGTTAGAACTGCATGTCATTAACGCATTCCATCTACTGGCAACTGTCGCTATGCCTTGCGCTCTATGGGAAATTCTGGTTGCAGTGTGCAGGGAAAGAATAATGCCGACAACTTGAACAATCGTGGAGACCTGAAAATTTGGGAGAAAAAATAGAAGGAATTATGATTTATGAGCCTGTAAGAGCGGGAAGGCACACAAATTTACGACACTGATTTCTCCACTGTATCCTGTGGTTTCAAATAGAGTCACAAACTGGCTAGCTGTGACAACTAAGAACTGCAGTAGGAGGAAGATCCGGAACCTGTGGCTTATTTTACAGAGATGGTAGCGCAGGCGGATATGCTCCTCCATAAACACCAGCATGTCAGATTCCCTCTCCAAGAGCCTTCCGAAATCGTCGAAGTGGATAACTTGCAAATTGCAGACCAAGTGAAACAAAATGCTGGCTGTTAAAGTGATCGTACTCGCATAAGCCCATGACAGAACCAAAGCTAACAGTACGCCGACCGACATCCCCCACCCCCATGAATCCTGATGGACATATATCATCCGAACAACCTCACGTAGAGTCTTCAGAATAAAACATGGGAGCGCCCACCGAACGAGCAAGCAGAAAGAATCCTGTCAAGATATATGTCCCAAGAAAATTTGGTTACCACATTTTAACTTCATATGTGGAAAATTCTAGTATACTATAAACACCTACATCTGTGGCCGTTGAATTATTGGCCGCACATCTAATGCTACATTCATTCAATGGATGCCATACACCGGAGCATAGCATAATTTTCGGGTGATATATACAATGCACATGTTCATAACACAATCAATTCATCAAGTAAACCATTTCAAATTATACCTTAATCTGCTTGATATAATCGTTTCGAAACCGAACCATGTGACCGCTATTGCGATCAACAGACAGGAACCGCCGAATGCCATACTTGCGAAGACTCTGAGAGATGCAGAGCACAGAGACCGCCGCCAGAACCGCTTGCGATCCCACGATAACTAGCTCGAACCCTTTAATCTGATACTTGTCACAGTCGGAGCAGTTGAACACCACAAGCGCAACCACCGGAAGAGCCACACCGATGAGAACCAGGGCCGTCCAGGACAGAGCAAGGCTCAACCAAGAAGATTGGTTGAAACCCAAGAGAGTGAGAAACGTTTCTAGCCATTGGAGGGTTTGGTCCAATTGCGTGTCTTTATATTCTTCTTCTCCTCCCAGGTGGTGGTGGTTGTTGTGGTGGTTGCTGTGGTGGTTGTTGTGGTGGTAGTTATGGTGGTGGTGGTTATTGTTATCAGAATGGAGCAGAGGGGTAAGTTGGGAAGGTGGCTCCTCTGTTTTTATAAAAAGATCCGCCATGGATGGATTAAGAGCTTAATTAGGGAGCTTAAAGCTGAGATTTTAGCGGGTTTAGAGATAAAACGGTGGCAACCCAGTTGAGATTTTGTTGCTTTAAGTAGGAAAGTAGGAATCTTTTTGCAAATTAATTTACAGGCCCAGCCTGTCGTCGGGTTAAAGAATCAGATCAAAACCCAGGTTTTTTTTCTTTCTTTCTGAATCTTCTGATTTTCTTTACGCTTAAGAATATACTTAACCTGGAGGCCTGGAAATTGGAATTCTTTAAGGGGAAGACAAAACGATGATTGAGTGACATGTATTGGGAACAAAGGGGACAAAAAGTGACTCGCAACAAATGTCGGATCTGTAATCTTAGAAAATGCTTTTGTTGTTTCATATTTTAGAACACCAACTTTGTCGAATTCGAAGGCTTCTGTGTTCCCGCCAAATAAGAACATGTCCGGGCCAGTCATGGCCTCACCGGAAGAGCAATCATTGGCCGACATATGTGACAACTAAGCTAATTAAGCATGTCGGATTATGCGGTTTTGATTGGGGTTTAAGGTTAATTAATTGGTGGGGGATCGGTGATTGGAAAGAGGGTTAAGGGGGTGGAGACTGGAGTGGTTTGATTCAAGTGGGCTGGAGCATTGTTGGTGGCAGATGATTCGATTGAGATGGTGATGATTTTGGTATAGTTAAATAGGGAAAGAGTTTTCGTGGAAGGATATGATTCAATGCACTAATTTATGATGTCTGTTTTTGAGGTAGCGATATAGCGTGATAATTGAAGGAAATTAAACGATAACTTTAAAGAGTGGAAGTATTAAATTATTAAAAAATTATGATTTTTAATCAAAATGGTCTCCATAACTCTTTATTTTGGTTTTTAAGAATTAATCAATAGAAGTAGTTCCTGAATTTGTCCATCGTCAATCATTTTGGTTATTTTCTAAAAAATCTTCGTTAAATTTAAGAAACCACCGGTGCAGAAGAGGGCTTGATTTGACAAAAATACCTCAATTTAATACCTACATCAAGTATTAGCATTGCTAGCAATTCTAATTGAAAACATAATTCAAAATAACAAAATTTTAACAATAGAATTTAAGATGAAAAGCTCGTACGTCTCATCAAAACAATAAGTTTGATTCTCAATATTGCTCTCTTAGCATCTCTAGCATAAAAAACATAATTTTCAAATATAACAAGAGAATTTGATGTAATGAAGTTCATAGGTCACATATTGACCAAAAAAAAAGTTCATAGGTCACATTGAAGCAATAAGTTTGATTTCTAATTTGCTCAGTGAAAAATGAGATATTTTTCAATGTGATCGGTACACGGGGTAGTACACCACGTGTCATTATACAAATAGTGGGATATGTATACTAAAAAGTTAATAACTTAAAAAATAAAATTTCTCACTACTCCTATTAAAACACGTGATGTACCACTTGTGTTCTCGTGGAGCATTAAAACCCGCCAAAGAGAGCCTAGCCCATAATTTCCATAGTCGTAAGTTGAGACCGCTTTACACAAACAATACCGCAAAATATTATATGTATCACAGGTGCCTCACGATCTCAAGTTGAGAATAACGGAGATTGAGCCCAGAGCTTGAAGCTCAAATTTAAAATGCTTAAATTTTCCTATTGTTACGTCAATTAAGATAATTTTCAATCCACTCAACTATATATTCCACATCAATTCTTTTATGGGAATTTTAACGAAAAGTACCTGGTACTGTTCACTTTAACGAAAAACCACATTTTTACACTAAAAAGTCAATCCTGGTACTATTCATTTTGCTATTTATTTTGTCATTATCATTAAAACTCAAAGTTTTCAAGTTTTTTTAATTAGTTTTCCTTTCTTTTTTATTTGGTGGAAAATGACACACATTTGGTAACGAAACTAAGTTTAGTCTGTCATATAGTTGATTTTATATGTCAACTAGCTCTTAATTTAACATTTTTTCATGTACTATATAAATTCTAATTTCCGATAAAGAAAGAATTGGTTTGACAATATTGATGGACTTTTATATATTTGGTCTGGAGATCGATATGGACTTGTACATTTGGTGGTATATCAGGTCCTCATCTGTTTTGTTCTTAGAGCTCGTCTTTAGTCCCTAAACCCAACCCCATTTATATTTATAAACAAGAAGTCGTCACTTGGCACTGTACACAAAAGAAATTAACTAAAATAACTACATTTATATATAGAAAATTATAGCAACGGTTCCTTAAATTTAATCCAATTAGAGTAATGGTCCATTGATTCATCAAAACCTGTAGTTATAGTCATTTTCATTAACTTCATCAGAATTCTGTCAAAATGAGTCATATTGAAATGATCATTGTTACAGTTGGGTCAAAGCTGAGGGATCATTACTCCAGTTGAGTTAAAATTGAGAGACTGTTACTACAATATACTCATATGTATATAAGGGAAGCACACCAATTTGGGGAAGCTTTCAATATTCCTAAAATACTCCTACAAATTTTAACTGAACGGCAGACCTGACACCATTGACATATAAGCCCACGTTAATAACATGTCTAATTTTATGATTTTTTTTTGAACAAACGATATTAACTATATTAAGGGGTGAGATATTGGGCTAAGCCTCATAAGTGGGTTCAAAATCGCATTGACGAGAATCGAACCTAAAATCTTTTACTTACCAGTAAAGAGGAATACCACTACACTGTAATACTAAGTGATAATTGTGCGATTTAAAATGGAAACAATGAACAACATTCAATAAAAATATGGTCAAAATCGTAAAATAATACCATTCACAAGTTTTGGAAAAAAATATAAAAGAAAAAAGAATTAATGTGGAATTCTCTGTTCTCGACAATATATGCTCCCATCTCAATAATGATAATTTCCAATCACCAAAAAAACACCCACACTTGAAATTTATTAGGGTAAATTATACATAACTACCTCAACTATTCGGTCATTAACAGTTTCATACCTCATATTTAAAAGTTTTAATGTCATATCTTATCTTCGAATTTGTTGCAATGTGCTACCTCCGTTACATTGGCTGTCAATTGGTCAGTTATATGATGACGTGGCATACGCCACGTCCCACCATTTCCACATATGAACTTCCACGTGGTCTGCCATGTAGATTTCCTGCCAAATTAATTTTCATGTAAAAAAAAACTAGAATTTCTTTGTCAACATAATTATTTCCCGCCAAAAATCGTCCACGTCAGCAAAAAAAATATTTTTTTTTTTTAAGGGGTCCAATTTTGGAAGATAATACAACCTAAAAAAACCAAACCAAATGGAAATTGTACATAAACACATGATATAACCAAAAATGAACACAAAGTCCACTTGAAACAAAACATTTGCAAAGACCAAAAGATGAACTGTAACTCATATAGCATCATTGAGCCATCTAACATTTACAAAGATATGCATTAGACATCCTTAAATATCCCAAAATGCACAGTGCACTGATCCAAAAAACATACTGAAATCCATCTATCAAAGCAGTGCAAAACAATGCATTTTCAGGGATACAAATCAGTTCAAAAAACCAAAAGAAATTCAATGTTTGTGATGTCTAATTCTAGAACCCATGTACCATAATTTTAGTTCCTACTGCACATAAAACATGAAGTGAAAACAGTAATTTGTTACAATTTCTGGCATCTTTAGGTCTTGGTTTGCCTTGTCTTTCTCTGCTTGGTGGCTCTCGGTGAATGAGCTTCAGGATTTGCAGATGAATCATCCCTTGATTGCGATGCCTAATTTCAATGTTCATTACAAAAAGGTTAAATGCAAAGTAAGGTTCTAAACTAAACTTGTTGTTGTAAACTTCAAAGAAGAGGATTAGGTTTTGTACCTTAGATTTCCTTGTTCTCTTTTTAGGTGCAGCTTCGGCTGATGATGATGCTCTCTCTTGGGCTGATGTGGATGCCTATAAGAAAGTATAAAATCATTCATTAAAGGATTAAAGGATTAAGGATTAAAGGATTAAAAGATTAAAGAAAGTACAAAATGTTACTTGTTTGTCCCTTAGAGGAAAATGTCAATGATGGGTCTGTGAATTATGTCCTTCTTGCTTGCATATAGTACACTTCAAAGCACCTTGCCCTTTCTTTCCTAGCTTAAATGGCTTAGGAGGACCTTCAGGATTATTTGGTGGGTTGGTGGGAGTTTGTTCACCATCTTTCTCCAAATTAGCAGCTTCTTTGTTTCTTTTCTTCCTTGGTCTTCCAAGTTGCCTTGTATATAATGGAGGCAAGATTGGTGGGTTTTCAGTATCCTCCTACAATGACATACCATTCATTGGCATTATTAAGTAACAATAAACTTCCAAGTACCGTGCCTTTGAATAGTATGCATCCACATAATTCTCAGGTTTTTCTCTCTTGAAATGGATGAT